TCCCATTCAAAAGTGAGACTCACACTTGGGGATGTTCCCTCGTTAGTAACATTATTTTATAAAAATGAATTGATACACCGATGCAAGTAATTATAATGAAAGTATACGATTACTTTCAATGATAGTGCTAATGAATGGAGAAACTTGTAAATTAGAATATTATTTTAGGAGTGCTTGGAGTAATCACTCATTGGTGTCAAAAGGTATAGATATTTTTGTATGTTATTAATCGATTGAATTCACGAAACATTCGCAACAAATATATTCTTAGTCATAAAAACTGGTCGCTTTGTGTGACTTCTTTAGAATTAATCCTTTCGATTAGGTTTAAATTTGGGATCAAATACTCTACAAATAATAGAGAGAATTTATTCATCATATTTATTGAAAAAGATTGAAGAAAAGAATGGTTCAAGTCCTCGTTTAAAGATATTATTGAAAAAAATTCGGCTGTCTTGTAAGATAAATTAATTGTGTTTATATCAAATACAGTAGTATTAAATAAAGTATCTCAATAGTTTATGACAAAAATTTCTTACCATTTTTGGACAGCAATAGCCAGGAAAACGTTTAAGTACTTCAATAATTGTAAGTTCACAAATACATAAACGACGAATATTAAATGATTGTCACCAAAGATTATAAAGTAAAATATTGTTAGGATCATCTTTAAGTAATTCCATTTTCATTTGATTGATAATCAATAGCAAATTTTCATTTTATTGATCAACTAAATTTATCCTTGGCTACAAAAACACGGTATGATTATTCATTTAAAAATAATTCACAACTTACTACATCATTAACTCGACATTCAGCTTGTAACATTAAACTTTTTTTTGGTTTTCTATTTGTTTTACCATTACCATATTTGTCTTGTTTAAGTTTTACAAAATCATTAGTCATTTGTAATTGTTTACGTTCACATTCAAATTCCTGTTTAATCGACTCATGCCAATCTTTCTACAAAAACAAAAACATATTCAGATAATCTATTGACTTTTTTCTTACTATGGCCTGATAAACTAATGATGAAGGAACATGTAATTTCTTTAATATACACATGGCCATTGTTTTATATGCATCATTAGTTAAATAACTAAATTGAAATAAATAATAATGTTAAAAATTCTATTAGGAGTAATTACTTACAACAATTTGTATGGTTCTATTATATCATCGAAGACAAGAGATAAAAGTTCACTACGCATGGTCGTATGTGGAAAAAATTTCGAAAGATTATTATCATCAATACATTGTTGTATTCTCATAGTTAAATTTGGTCCTTCATAATCTGAAGGTAACCGTAATTTCATAAAGATATCATCATTATCATTGAAACAGTTACGATTTGAAACATCAGAATCTGTTATTTGATTATTATCAGAATTAAATTCTATATTTTCATTCAATAATAATGATGTTGATGTATTATTCTCGTTTAATACATCTAAAGATTCGAATGATGAAGATAAGTGTTCAATTAAAAACAAAATGATCTGTAATTGCATTACTACTTTCACGTTGTTTAGTTAAGTTTGAGATTAATTTTATACGTTGATCAATAAATTTGACATGATCTTTAATTCGAGGAAATATTTGAATAATATCATTATGTTGAAGTAAAATTAATGTTGGACTATCAATTTTCTCCTCTATAACAAAGAGATAGATCTTTTCTTTAGCAAATGAACAAGATTACAAATGAAAAAATAAATATCTACTAGCCAACAACCTTATCAAATAAAAATCTAATTTTAACTTCTGTATAAACAAAAAGGAACACTCTTTTTATCGTCTTGTTAAACGAGTCAAGACATTTCTATAATGTGTTTGTCCTACTAGACAACAATCAAGACAACGTGGCAATATATCAAAACAGTGATTTATCTCTATTGAAATCAACGTTCCTGTAAATCCAACTTTATACGAGCATAATTTATGATTAAATGAAACTGTATCTAGTTCTTCAGCGATAACAACCCATTTTTCCTTGGTGTTTAACAAATGATGTATTTGGCAGAATATAGGAATTTTTTCTGCATGTGCATGATCACGAATAATTATGGCGCTTGGCCTAATGTGGATGTTATGGTAACAAATCGAAAAACATTCACGTATTGGATCAGATTGATCAATGCTCTTCATTAATAAGCGTTTAACAGAAAGTGAAAGATACATTAATGTAATAGCTTTACACGATCGAATATTTAATGATGCTGAACAAAATGAGTTTGAATGGCTCAATAAACAATTACGTAATTGATGACGTTTCGAAAGAGTCAACAAAGAATTTTTAAAGTTAAATGTATGAGCAGCAAGTTGTTTGGAATACAAGTGTTTTGTTTCAAACCTTATATACGAATTCAATATGGAAAGTCCATATTTTTCAATAGAACGAGAATATTCAGTTATGAAGTGGACTTTAGGTGTTACATGATCATGTAAACGTTCAATCATCAGAGAATAAAATTGTTTACATAATCCATTGAGATATGATAATCATGATTTTCTAATTGGATTACCATATATATATATATCTGATAATTTCTTGTAAAATAGTGTATAATAGAAATAAGGATAGCTGACCAATGATGACATGGAATATTATTGGAAATAGTTGAAAAAAAACATAATTTTTGACTGACAGAGCCAGTAATATTTGGATTAAATAGAAGTTGCATTTTAACTGGTGGAGGTTTATTTGAAGAGTCATAAAAGCCAAAAATGAAAGATGACGTACGTTGTTCAATGTTAGCATAAGTTAAAAGACGTTGTTGAACAGCTTCTTTTAACAGAGCACTTATGATAAGTGGACATACTTCTCAATAACAAAAAAAAAATTAGTTTTGCGTATAAAAGAAATTAAAATCTATAAGACAAAAATTCCAAATAAAGCTGATTAAAGTTTTATATTAAAGTATATGCTCGTT